AGACTGGACTGCAGTTTCGACCTCGTCTAGGTCCTATTCAACTATCAGTCCCCTTATCAGCCAAAATGAAATCATATGAATTCATCTCATATGAACTTCTCCATTGTCATATTAATAGACTATGCTACTTATGTTCGGAGAAAAAAGGCTTGAGCCTTCGCTTTACTGATAGTCTCGAATCCCACTTTCTGTGAGTACGGAAAAGGTTGTTTTTTGCTGATCTCTCAGTCAGCAATACCAATTAGTGAATTGGTAATGACCTATCCTTCAGTTCGTAACACGTCTAGATTGCACAATGGTCAATTCAGGCTAGATTCACGTTGGGGCAGCTGTTCAGACGAATGTGAAGTGGAAATTGCATCCCAATTTGGATGAGAATACCTTTTGGGAGGCAAGGCTAAATAAAAATCAAATTGCGTCGTGCTTGTGGCAAAGTTCAGTTACCACTCCCTGCCGATCCTACGTACAAATGAAAAACTAAATATTTTTTTAATTTTTCGTATAAAAGTAGAGTTTTGAGACTACCAGTAAATCAATTATATGAGACGTATTCCCTCTATTTCGCTTGAGGTGAAACATAAGTCCTACTCATATCATTGTGTGCGAATTCAACTACCAGTCTCTCATCACCTTTAACGAAATAGGGTGAATACATCTCAGTAAAAAATTAAAGATCTTCATCACGAATTGCTTATGATAGTCTTGGAGAGCGGTCTCTTTGATTATAACTTCTGAAGGTATCAAGTAAAGAAACAAATTAGCTCTATTCTTAGATCTACTGGTAGTCACGACAAACTACTTATAAACGAGAAATAAGTAGTGTATACAGCTTTGTCCTGTCGATAGTCCCATCACAGAAATGTGAAATTGGCAAGACCTGTCCCTGCTCATGACAGCGTGACGTAGTGGTAACATGTCGAAATTGCTCGCTGCATCAGCCGAGTTCGAGTCCCGTTGGGATGCGGATGTGACCTGGCCGATGTCGAAACTGTAGCCAACTGCTTTCGGATGGGAATTCTTTTTGGCAAGTAAGCCTATGCACAAGTTAATGGACACTTGTGACCTACACATTTCATTGTGGGAAAAGTGGACTATCATGCCTTCACGACCAGAAAAGCAATAGAGGGGATACGGCTCTTGTAGTAACTCTCTACGAAACTGTACTTTACAGTTCGACATTTATTCATCGTCGTATTAGAGTAGGGTTACGAGACTACCAGTAAATCAGTTTAACGAGATGTATTTACCCTATTTCGTCTAAGGTGATGAAGGACTGGTAGTAGAATTTTCCCACGTTTCCCTTGAATTTCACATAGCCTTGCTTTCCCCAGTCCTTCATCACCTTAGACGAAATAGGGTGAATACATCTCATTAAACTGATTTACTGGTAGTCTCGAAACCCTACAATACGAATATAATAAAGTTGTCGATTGCTATAGGAAAAATACGTTTGCGTCATCGGCACTCCCAACAAAAGAATATGATACAGCAAAGAGGCCTGACCTTCCTTGAAATTCACTTATGTCCTGTAACTCAAGGGTACTCGTGGCAGTGTAGCCGAGTAGTTAGCGTGTCAAGCTACCGTCCTGCACTGTCGCGGT